GGTTCTTGTATTCGTGGACTGGCCTTCGGGCCACGCTCAGGCCCCATTTGCCCTGTCGTCTTACGAATACATGTATTCACCCCCAATTATGCTTTCTTCCATTCTATAAAAAGACTCGGGACGCTACAGTTGTGATGAATCAGTTTGAATAGTAATCCCATTCGTGAGGAACACGAGGTCACATCCGCGAGGTGGCGATAGCTTGTCATCTCATCGACACTCTTCTTGCCCTTTCTTTAACAAGATGCCAAATAATACTTCCCATTCCATTTGCAATATATTCTAGTGTGTCTAAAATTGCCTTTATGGGGTACAGGCGGGCAATCAGTTTGAATGCGAATCCACTACGTGGAGTGTGAAGATCCCTCCCTAGGTTGACATCAACTTTCCATCTCATCTTTCCTTCCCCATTGTTTTTCGTTCTGTACACGATGCCGATAAATTCTTCCACATCTAACCCTACCCATGAAGTCAGAGGCTTAGAAGTCTAAGTGTACGATAAGAGGCTCTATTCTCTCCATGGTCAGAACTTATTTTGCAATAGGTCTCTTTGATTTTTTATTTAGTTATCATTGTTATAGGAAGCTTGCCTTGTCCCTCTACCAAAAAGCCAAATTTGAGGCTAATTGACGATTGTGTAGTCATTGGTCATGCCCTCCGTTCCAATTGTCGAAGCTTACACTCCTTCTACAGTCTCTGCAGTTGTCTAATTGCTCGTAAAATAACTCATTGTTTATAACTCTGACTTAAGCAGCATGGTTATTCTGTGGGATGTTCTCTTATTCCTCCTCTGATTGGCTCATTTTCTCGTAGAGTGGTGAAGTGTAGAATTCGAGATCCCTCCTCAAGTCTTGTGTTGGGTCAGACATTTTACGCACCTTGCTGCTATAATTTCCCGGATTGACGTCTTTAGTAGTTCATTCTATGAATTGTTGTCGAAAATCCGATGCATTTTGGCTGTACTAAAGTTTTTGTAGCATTTGCCCTAAGTCTACGCATGCATCCATTTCAGAAGGAACTACAACTATCCACTTTAACAATAGTTTCCTCAATTTCTTCTGCAGTAGTGATGTGCTCTTGCATGAACCTAGCAACACGGCTCTACTGTTGCATATCCATTTATAGATGATTTTCGTTAACATATTTATATTCAATTGTGCTTGTATTCTATTCCCCCATCTAGTAGCGTTCACTTTACGCTTTTCAATGCAACTTATTTGAAACATGCCTGCAGTCCTTATTTTACGAACTGTTGCGCGGTCTAACGATGGCGTCTCCTGTTTGATTAATCTGCAAATTTTATTGGATTTATATAAGCCTGTGCGAATCTCCTATGAAATCAAGGTGTTTGTTCACAATCTTTGTTTGTGATATCACATTTTTACCTTACAACTGCTTCAACTTTTCCATTGGTTAGTGATATTTATGTCGTGAATGGATCCATAAAGAGTAGAGTAAATGTTTACTGCTTTTCATCATGCTTGATTCAACTAGCTCAAAATGTGTACAATCGTGGAGTCAGTTTAAATTCTGAGGGAGACGCCTTCTATTTCTATCCGTTATCCTGTGGAGAAGACTTCTGATGTGGCTTCGATAGATGGGGCTCAAACCTAAGCTCACAGGCCATTGATATCTCAGATTTCGGTTTTTTCTTGAGTTCCGCCTTTGAATGCTATGCCGCTTTCTACTACTGCATTTGATTGGTCACTTTATGTGAATTGGGGAATCTTACTGACCTGCCTTCGATCATCGTCATCGGTTGTGAAAACGTGTGTGATGCAGTTATCCTCTGTTGATGCACTATCTTATTGTCACTTTTTTTAGATTTGTGGGTAGCAATAATAAAGAATCTCGGGAAATTAAATCTCCTAGGCAGTGCTGAAAAGATGGTATTCCATTTGTGAGTGAACTGGACTGATCAATTTGATACGCGGTTTTTAAACAACATAGCACCGGTCTCCATAAGGTTTGGTTTTGACACTGAGAAGATTCCTTTTACCTTCCAATTTGACACCTCACCTCCGATGTCTTTAGTCTGGTGACGTAAAGTCACAAAAGTCATCTCAATTTGAACTTTTCATTTAGGTACAAACGATTTTTGATAAGTTACTTTGGAAACTAAAGTTTAAATACTTCCATTTCAGAAGAATGCGTTATACCAAGTTTACCAAAGAAAAGCTATACAGGCGTAAAGGAACCCATGACAGTGAACTTCTCCGCCATTTATTTATGTGTATTTATGCCTCAATTCATAGCAATACATAATTGAATTCATGTTCCTTTTGGTGACTTAGTTACTCCGAATAGGGTTCGGATGATTGGCGTCTAGTGCTTAACTTTCTCAAAGGCGTAGACCTGTGACATCATTTCTGTACTGAACATGGTCATTGGGTCGTACTTTTCCAAATCGGATGTTATTTCCAGTTTCAAATCAAGTAGTATGCTGTAGCAGTCTCCAGGATTTGCTTGTGTCCACCTATTTGATTTTTGAATTTTAGTCAAATAGGCAAGTATTTTAGGACTACTTGAAGCCTGGCCCTGCGCTGTTATCACTGATCGGCAAAATCCCCAATCCGCGCTCTGGGCGATGTAGTTGGTATCTTCCATGTGGCACAGGTTCTTAAATTTCTTCTCCTGACATTTTGTGGCAAGAATGCGGTATACAGCTTAAGATTCTGTAATTATCGAGGTGCTTGTCTCCATCGACTGTTTTATGTTTCAGGCTATCAAAATATATAATGAAGGGAAGTTTAACGGGTGAGTATAACATTAGCTCAGTACCGCTAACCTTGAACAACAATAGATCTTATAGCTGAAGAGTCACGACTGAAATCGGAACTATCATCTTTGAGTAAGAGGATAGAGGCTCTAGTGCGTCAACGAGATCTGTTGCAAGCGGAATATGAGCAAGTGGTACACCAACTCTCTTTGGCCAGGTTGAACTCTATCAGAACGTCTGGCTTGGTTGCCGAATACTCTGACCAGAGCGTATTTCCTTGGACTTCTGAACTTGAACGTATTCGGCTTGAAATTTTCCGCATTTCTGAATTCCGTCCCCTTCAACTATCCGCTATAAACGCCTTCCTAGACAACCGCGATGTGATCCTTGTCATGCCAACCGGTAAATTGCTTACTGTGCATGTTTAAGTAGCCATAATCGCGATCATATTTGACTAAAAATTTCTAGGCGCTGGTAAAAGCTTAGTCTACCAACTGCCGTCCTTCTTGGAGAGCCCTGAGTACGTTGGCAAGTTTACGCTGGTAATCAGTCCGCTCGTTTCACTGATGACTGACCAGGCGATTGGTTTGCGACGACTAGGCATTCCTGAGGATTCCACGGCCATTCTCGATGCTTCATTATCGCAAGTAGAGCAGCAGAAAGTATTGCATGCCATCGGCGGCGAGAACAGGAGCAAGGTGGCCGAATACGCTTATTAGCTTGTGATTAACTTTAAATAGCGATAGTGTTTCTTAACTAGTTATTTTCCCGCCCTCTCTTTAAGAAAGTCTCTGAAATAGCTGTAGACCGATTTCTGTAAATCCTTTTTCCATCACCGTGGTTACTTTGTTATTAAGGTAGTCTGATATCCTAAACAGGAGTTTTAGTCGAAAAGCTATGGTGTTGTGCTAACTGAGTTTGAACAAATGCTAGTCGTGATCAGGTGGTGGCATTGACGTTTTGATGAGCTGAAAGATACCTGTAGTACACAGTATCACGGCGAAATATGTTGATAGCTAAAGCCATCTTAGTGTGTATCTCTTATGTTTGAAGGTTGTGCCATGCTTTAAAGGAATGAAACGTACTTTGGGGAGTGCTATTTTGTCGAGTCGTTGCATATGATCACGGTTATCTTAGCAAATGAAGATTTGTCATGGCATCCAAAAGTCGTTTTTGAATAGTTATCCTTTTAGCCTCAACAGCTCTTCCGCCTTCAATAGGCAGTACATATCTTTGAAATGCGAGGATCAACCCTAGTAACAGTCCTTGATATTTCTTATCTGGTGAAAATTGGAGGTTCCTGTGGTTTAGTAAATTCCTGAGGAATCATAACTACAGGATCTGAGGGTAGCATCGTCTGACATTTGAATGGCCTTTCAGTTGTTGGTGGGAAGCGGTCTGCGAATTCTCTTTGTAACCCCGGAAAAGTTGAGCAAGTCTAAACGCCTTATGTACCAATTGGAGAGGGCGTACATGCGGGGTAGTTTGGCACGGATTGCGATTGACGAGGTCCACTGTGTAAGTCAGTGGGGCCATGACTTTCGTCCCGACTACAAATTTCTCCACGTTCTCCGGTCCCAGTTTCCGCGTGCACCTATCCTTGGTTTAACTGCTACTGCTTCTGCTGAGGTCATCCTCGATATCCAAAAGATGCTTGGTCTTCAGCAGCGCGACTGTGTTGTCCTTCGATCCTCGTACAACCGACCTAATCTGCGTTATGAGGCGAGTCTTATCATAGCCTTCTATTTTCTCACTTGAGATTGTGGTTTCTTTGCATTTTTGTGGTTAAAGTATTCCAAAGTAGATGACTGTGGATGCCGTAAATGTGAACCTTCCTATAACCAGTCCAGCTCCCCATCCTTTTCCCTTCATCTTTTATTAACTCTGTCCCGATGTGTTCATCCATTTGTGACTACTGTACCTCGTGGGGCACATTGCATAGTTCGTGTCACATTCATCTGCCGTCAAGTGCACTGAGGTGGGCTGGAGCTCATGTGCAGCAGACAACCAACTTAAACTACTTTCTGGTCAGTATCATGTACCGAAATGGATTGCTCGCGCATGGCTGAAAACTTATTTTATCGTCTTTCCGTCTTTCTGAGCACTCAGCTCGCCAAGTCACCCTTTTTTGGTGATGTTTAATTATTTCTGGTATTGAGTTTATTCCATGTTAAGACCAAGCATGGCAAGAAAACCGTCCATAAAGTAGTCTCTTTGTAGCCCTTGAGCTAATAAAGTGACTTTTCAAAACGCTGTTTCCATCTAGTCACGATTTTACTCTTAATTTCGCATCAGACTGCCCGTAATGTTTGAATTTAGAAACAAACAAAGGTAATATTTCGAACACTTCCTTGGCCTTTGACTATTACTGGTTTTGCTCCATAGTATCATTAACTCTCAGGCGTCTCTCACCGTTTGTTTATCCCATTTTTTATCTGTTCTCAACGCACTTTTGTAGTAAATCTGTATTGGGCTCACTTGTTAGGGCATTTTACCGTCTCTGTGTTAATTTACGCATTTGATCTAGTCCTGTCGGACTGCGGAGGAATGCCTCTTTCGAGAAACTACGCTGTTGAATCTTATTGTATGTGCTAGGTACGGTTTCAATCTGGGCCTATCACCTCTTCCTACGGCGCTATCTGCGAATTAATACGTTCCGAATTTTCAGGACAATCGGGTATGTGTTCCTCTCTATAACGTCTACGTAAATCTCACTTGCCACGCATTATACTTGCCATTTTCGCACAGCTCCCACGATAAGCCATTACTTACCTTTTATTCAACGTTTCGTCAGGTATTATATACTGCTTATCCCAGAAAGACACAGAAAGCCTCTCGACTTTTCTCAATGGAGAAGGCATCACCGCCGCATTTTACCACGCTAACGTTGAGCCCTCTCAACGCGAGAACGACCACATGACTTGGCTAGATGGAGGAATCCAGGTTTGCATATTTAGCTAATCGTCTCGTATTTTTCTCAATTTTTTGAGGCTATGGCAATTGAGTAATTAACGAGAAGTACCGCCCACAATCTGTTCCCTTAAAGATCTAAAGCTAACATAGGGTTCGACTCAACATAATGAGGTCACTTCAAATTAAATCATTCCTAGTATTAACATGGACAATTTTTTTGTGTTTACTTCGACGTGATGATCCACTTTTTTCTCAGTCCATGTCTGTAAAACGTATCTACTTTTGAACCTGTGATTGACTTTCGGGACTAACTTCACCAGCACGAATAAGAAGACCTTCTCGACATGTATTTTTTCACGAAGACGTCCTGATGTTTTTACTAAGTGATGTTGTGGTTCTTTGTCATTTCCTCTTATTGAACTTATTTCTCCTCCCCACTGCATGACCTGCGGCGAGTACTATAACAGCCTTACAGAACAAGAGGAGCGACAAATATGTGAGCCTAGTTTTCAAAATAGACAGTCTGCAATTCATTGGCCTTAGTATTTTTTCTGGGAATGACTTATACTTGCTCATCCACTCGATTCTTTACTGATTGGTGCGGCAATGTTTGTGATAGCCACTTCACTTTTGGTGTGTGACTGCCTGCCTATAGTTACCACTTCTTTTTAATATTAGTAACTTCTTTGCGTTTGCGAAATTCATTTTTACAGTTATTGAATTTGGATAGACTAGCCTTTAATTATCTGCTCTTTTTAATTGCTTTTAGTCCATTGATCATGGGGAAATGTGGAAATTCGGTGTAACCTACTAGGGTCATCTACGCAAACCACTTAATTGTTTCTTGAACATTAAGTTATGCAGTGTTGTGGAAGTTGACTAAACTCCTATGAGCAGAAGTAGTTTTGAATAGTCTTTTGTGATAGTAAGGATTGTTTGGTACAGAGACGATCAGCGGGACTTGCATTGTAGGTGATGGTGGCTACGGTGGCCTTTGGCATGGGCATTAACAAACCAAACGTACGTTTCGTGTTACACTTGTCTCCAAGTAAGAGTGTGGAGAACTACTATCAGGAGTCAGGCCGCGCAGGCCGCGACGGTGCACCGAGCCGAGTGGTGCTGTTGTGGCGCCTAACAGATCTCTTTCGTTTGGCCACCATGGTCTACGCAGAGCAGACAGGTCTGCGCAAACTTCTTCAAATGATCGCCTACGTTGTGGAGACGCAGCGCTGTCGACGCCGCCTTATCAACGAGGCCCTTGAAGGTACTGATTGGTGCTCTGACCACTGCGAACTCTCGCCCTGTGACATTTGTTCGAACTCCTCTCTCTCCGCTACTTCTGTTGCCCGTAAGTCACCCCCATTAATTCTCATTGGAATCTCACTGTCTCTATTTCGGCTAATTTTAAAGTTAAAGTAATCTGTGCTAAATTGAATGTGTAAATGATGACTGTAATTCAGTTTTCTTTCCAAAACTTGTGCTCCGGCTTAAGCTTTTGTAGATCGTGATCTTTAGAGGTCATGAAGCGCTCGATTGAATACTTCGTTGCTAGCCATTTTAGATGCTTGCTAAAATTTATTCACCGACACTTGTGTGAAGCGTATGACTAAACTGGCTTCGGGATGCGTTTATGCAAGGGATTAAGCATTTACTTTCACATTTGAAGGTTATCTTCAGCAAATCGCGATCTTCTTGATCCTAATAACTTTTAAGTTCGGGTAATTTTGCTTTTATTGCTACACGTAATTTTGGTTACCAATTTTATTGCTTACACATTTCTTACAATGGAACGTATTAGCAGTCAAAATGAGTTAAAGCGCGTAGGACCTAGGACTACTATTAAGTAAGCAGCAAATTGTACATTTGTGCAAGGGTTCGTTTGTTTGAATCAAGCTGAAATTGATGCGACTGGAGTTATCAGTCGGATGCAGGAGATTCTCGAGGATGTCCAGTCTAAGTCGCAGCGTCTGACGGGGGCCAAGTTGGTGGACCTCTTGGTGAAGGATGCAGATGTGGCCAATGCACTGGCTGAGGCATTGGTTGCGTGCCTGAGTCGTAGGCAACTGATGAGTGTCAGCGAATATTTGGTGGCCTGGTGTCTTTGCCACGAGGTAATCACACTTGATTTCCACTTCACGCCCTACTCTACCATCGCGTACGTCGTCCCCTCAGGTGCCTCCCTTCCTCAGTCTGCGAAGATCCACCTTCCTATTGACATTTTGGCCCACAAAGTGGTGCCAAGATCGTGTCGAAAACGCTCTGCCCCTGCTGGTGTTGAGCTTGACTTCGATTAACACTCTACATGATCATGTGTGTATAAAGTTTTTTGCACTCACTTCCTCCCTACTCAACCGATGGAAAGTCTGCCTGGCGGCTGCAAGTTGATCGTTAAAGTCCGACTGAGTTGCTTAGTGGCCTTTGCGGTACTTCTGATGGGCGGTAAAGAGAAGGATAATGCAGTTGTATTGTTTATTTAAACTGTTGGGCTACATTTAATCTCTATGTGTCCTTGACTTTTCCAAGTGAATAGGTCAACTTGGATTTTATCTTTAAATGTAAAACGGTATTGTCAATTTATTCGATCTCAAATATTTTGAATGTAGCCGTACAACGATGCAGTCACCAGCATGCAATCTGGCAGGCCTGAGTTGATGCTTAAGATTGAAAGTGAAAGTCTAATTAAATGTTTGTAACACCACTCATTTGTTCCGGATCAGGAGACTCCCCTACGCATATTAACGATTTACTAAGCTCTGCTTAGTTTTGCCACCGTCATCTCCACCACGGATTGTTGAGTGCCACGTCCTTCAGCATAGCGAGGGTCCATATTTGAAGCAGTCTAAAAATTCTCATGCAATTTCATGGATTACTGTTTGTCTGTCAGTCTACTCCTGATTCGAACAGTTAACTCTCGAAAATTATGCTAAAAAAGCGTACCCACCTTTAATAATTGTAGTGCTTTACTGGTGAGTAATGTTACTGGTGAGTAACATACATGGGTAACTAGTGTATTGAATGCATGTTACATAGAAAACGAGATTAGACTGAAACTCTGTTCTCGCTGGTGGTTTTGGTGGGTGGCTGTGCACGCAATTAATCATGTTTAAGAATGGCAACCAATGTCCAAACCTCTGAAGCAGCACACCACTTTTATGCATTAGCACGGAGACAAAGTCGCTTTCAAATATCTCAACACAAGTATGTAGGTTGCAAAATAACAAAAATGTCTGCATCAAATAACGTCCTTAGATAGGTTGATAAGGACAGGAGACTGAATAAATCACCAGGGCATCCTTTTCAAGCAAAAATCCACATTCGCCGTGTCGTCAACGTCGGATAGTGTGCTGCTTACGCATCCTACGTTCCAGAGGCTTTTGCTTCCAAACAGCCAGCCTTAATTACAGCCTGTCCTTTTCCACTTTATGATCACTTATCCGTACCCTGATGGCCACTCTTGCAGTCTCCAGCCGAGTCACACAGTTCAGTATAGCGGTTAAGTTTTCATGCTTAAACTCTTAGGCTGAAGTTTCCCTGTAAATTCTAAATTATTTTTGTCACTTGTAGAAGAAACTTGACTTTTGAGCTTCCTTGCAATCAAGTTCATCCATTTGACATTTTAATAACCATATCATAAGCCATTATTCCTATTATTGGCCAAAATAAAACATAATCATTGCTTCATTTCTTCGTCCGGTTCACTGAATAGAGACTATCGAGCCATATATCATAAATTGCGCAAGATAAAGTGGGTTTTATTGTCCCAGAGGGGCATCTCTTACGCCTACTTTGTAAACGCAATAGTCGGGTACACTGCAGTTTTATCGCAGATTGGTCCAGTATATTTTGCAATCACAATGGTAAATTTATTTTGCGGACTGCTTGTACTCCCTCCTTTGAGGAGATCGAGTAGTTCGTAGTGTGCAATTGGTGGTTGCGTCCTCACTACTACACTGCGAGCTGTTGACGGGAGAAGTGCACGGGTTTCCACACACACCGTCCATATCTCGACATTGTCGCTTCTCCGAATCTAGGGTCCTGGTGTTCAAAGTTAAGTCCGCCCGCTCGCCTTGTATGTCAGCAGTATGTGGTGTTCTACAGTTCTGAAACAAAGTCAATGACAGATCAAGCTATAAATAGTGGATTAAGGTGAAACCACCGCAGCTGTTTTCTTGTTCTAGTGCGTGATCATTTTTAAAACATATGTCCCAACGATCTTGTTTCGTTTTTTGTTCCTTATTACTTTTTCGAATCTTTCAAAAAGTGGAGACACGGAGCACTTATTTTTCTTACAGGCAAAACAATCGAAGTTACCGAAATGGGGAAGCAGCTTACGCATGCATCATAGCAAAGATGTGCCTAAATGGAACCATTTTCCAAGGGCTCGAAACAAAGCAGATCTTTCTTATTTGATTTGAGTTTAATGAAACATTTCTTATAACAGAACAGTGCCATTTGATTTAAACACAAATGTCTAATTTTGACCTAACAGTGAAACATTCGCACACGATGTCGCATGCTCTGCTCGAGTATTATGCCTTATCGTAAATTCAGGGGATTTTCGAGGGCTACAGTAACGCTACTTGTAGAAACTTTAAACCTGTCATCAGAATGTCCGTCGGGTAGGATCGAATCTCCAAAAATTCCAATCAGAGAAATAGTTTATGAGGAGTTAAAGTGTAATTGGCATGGATGTTGACGATCTTGGATAAGTTTGTCACTTTATCTACGCGCACATCATTTTGATTCTTGAAATTGCTGTCACAGGGACAATGGAAAATGGGGCAACTAGAGTCGAAATTAGCGAAGTTTTCTACTTTTGACACAGCATCGTGTCGAGGTGATAAAAAGCGTTGTTGAAATGTAGGCTGCAGCAGGAAAGTACTGGCGAAGCCTGTATTTGCGTATACTGATCTGAGAGGAAACGTGCTACTCAACTTAGGAGGAAACAAGTGTCCCAAATGGACATTTTTTCTAATCAAGGGAACCATGTGTGCACTGCTTTACCATCCAACGTGGGCAATTTGCAAGAAAAATAGGTGCTTTCAAGACTTACTGGGTGCTAGTGCCTTACCTTGAAGCCATAAGATCATGCGCATAAATCCAAAGGGGCACGTAGCAACTGAATGCCAAGGAGATGCTGGAATTTCTGGTGGTCGTGTAAGCAAATTTTAGCTTGTTGATTGGGAATGAAAAGCAAGGGGCCGCCTGCTGTCATGGTTACAAGCCCACTAAGTGCTAAGCTTGGTAACACCTCCTGAAGCCACCGCAATACCGCAAAACGGTGGTGATAGGTGAGTAGCTTTAAGGAAATGATGGAATCTTGGCCCCTTAAGTTCTGAGAGATTAAAACATTGCCGCAAAGTGAATTTGCAATGGTAGAATCGACCTTTATTCAATTTAGAAGTATTCATTCCTCAAGAGCAAAGATGATAGTGATAAATCTACCAAGATACGAGAGCTATCGCTAGCTAGATTTATTTGAGTGCTTCCAAAATCTCATCAGGAATCTTAATAAAGCCTATTTAACCGTAAAGTTTGGGTCCTCATTTAAAAGGAGAATCTGAAGCTATTATTATTTGGGAAAAAACAATAGGCGCCGGTGACATTTAATTCAAATTTATTGACTGTTCTTTGCTTTTGTAGTAGAAGACACTTTCCTTAAAGTGGGAGCCAATGCTTTTGTTAAGGCTAATAGCGTAGACGATCAGGGTAAAGACGAGCTTTTGATTTACTGGGCGTTAAATTAAAGCAAAACTTTAAGACGACAACCAAGCTGGTCAACTTTGTGAAGTTAAGCTAGCTTTCTTGAAAGTAAACCAAGAGAAATATGTTTCTAAAATGTGTCATTCATTTGCGATTGCGAGCACAAGTATCATAGTTATATCCGCCAGTGGATGATTAGTAAGCTCAGCAAAGTCAAGATTAATTGGTCTATTTAAATATGTGTGTCAGTGCAGTAGAGATTTCTCGATTCGCCCACATCCTCAGTACAGACATCTCCGCCTTCGGAGAACCCCTCTTGAGGGCTTGAATTATCGTAGCTGACAAAAAATAACTAACTTTAAATCATTCCAAAGACGTCTGAACTGTTTTATAACAAGGATAGAAACACCACCAGTATGGCAAACATAACAGCAGGGTTCATCTGCATTGATTCCTTTTAGTGGTAACTAGGACAGTAGAGCCTAAAGAAAATCCCATCAACCTCGATGGATAGGAGAGATCCGCGTTTAGCATGGAGCCTTGAATTAGCTTGCAAGCAAACTTTAGTGAAAAATTTAGCTTCTGAGCTGTTTTGATGGATAGCATGCATTTTTCTTAGCGTACACTTAAAGGTGCATTTAAAGGCGTAAAATAACCAGAGAAGAGACACCAAATGCTCTGGAAGACAGGCAATATTACCTACATAAGTTTATAACGAATCAAATAAGCTTTGATGGGATGCGAGTTCCGTTTTAATTCACCATTTAGGTTAAAGGCGTTCACGGAACGCTAAAATCCCGTGGCCGAAGGGGCATCAAAAATTGTGGAGGTAAATGCGAGTTCAAGCGCAAATGTCCTACACTGAATCACACTACCAACTCCATGAGTATTAATAATAGGTGTACTCTTACCAGACGGTTTCTTGTTCAAATATTTTGAGGTCTAAAAAGGATTTATTTATGCACTGTGTAATACGCGAATCGAACACATACATTAATACGAGATATTTCATTCTTTCAATTTAACACTTATGAGTTTGAACCTGAAATCGAAACAAAGCTATGAAAATTGGCAACGTTAAAATATCCACTGTAAAACCCAGATTAAGGGAGACTTAACGGAGTTCACAGAACCCTTTAAAAATGCGTACAATCCTTGTTTATACAAATAGCAAAATACCAGATCAGTTCGATTTGCTTGTTCAATGGAATGCCACTATAATAGTTAACCAGCACAAAACGTTAACCATCAATAAGAAGGTTAGAGCCATTGCTCTGAAGCATTTATTTGTCTGGATATTACAACAGTCCTAGGACACTAGTAAAATGAAATGGTGAAATGCGATAAGTTTCAAGAGACTGGTATCGCAATGCGTTAGCTGATAGCCAGCGCTATAGAGATTCAAGTTGGGCATTTTAAAAGTGGTCATATTCTTAAAAAGTCGGCATTAGGAGATGCTAACTTTGACATGTGGGCGGCGTTCCCAGATGCGAACGCCACGAAGCCCTCCCAAATCCGACCAATTAGAAACCCAGGTTCACCAGCCTCGTGCGCGTCGATCGAATGATCCATCCTCCAATCGCGGGGATGGTGCTTCCTGTCCGACGTCGATTGGCTCTCTTTCAGCTTGCTAATTACCGTTTTATGGGTTTTCAATCAGTTTGTGGAAGGTAAGCATCGCAATTCGATCTTTTTATAGGAGCGGTTTCCTCAAATCGCAAAATACACCTTGCCGCTCTGCAGTCCGCTAAAATGGATGACATGTAAGTTACATACTTAAACTTGTTTTCCTGTCATTGAAAACACAACGATCGAAAGCAGTTAAGGAAGGCAGCGACATACTATAGCCGCTCATTTCGTTCTCATCAGTATAAATTAGGGTTTCGTGTTTTCTACGCAGCGACGTGCTTTACTTCATGGTAGATGGCAAAAATGCAAAATTAATGCCCGAAATTAACCAAGGATTCAATTAAAATCAATACGAAATTTATAAAATAATTCAGTGTTCATAGAGTGTTGCGATCGACCGCCAACCAAAAGGCTTTATTCTTAAAAGACTCTTTCCCTCGAAAATTGGCTATCCAGACCAATGCTTGCGGCGGAAGGAGTTCAGTAACTTAAGTGCATACAACAGATTTTTGACAATTCAGATCAAAGTAGATTATGGGTGAAGTCCGGATAGTTCCTGGAACCCACTGTCTAATTTGATTTCACACGGTTGGTAAATCAGAACTTGGTGGTTCTCATTTTCAGAAGTTTCGGAGTTACCGAGTTTGGATCGATTTCTTTTCAGTACAGCCCATAAGAACTAAAAGTTGAGAACTGCATAATTAATTTCGCAACTTTATTTGTTTCTTATTTGCCGTTTACCTATTAATTCGAAGTTTGACACTGTTAATAGCTGCTAAAATAGAGTTAGTTTCACATTTCATTAAATGAAGCATCGGCATTACTTTATATAAATAACACTCATGTGATCGGATTAAGTACAGTTATATAATAATGATCCTTTAATTGTTCTACCTTTAAAATTGAGAATTCTGACCTACAACTTTGTTTGTACTACTCGCGGCACTAATTAATTGAGCTCAAGCTTAACATCAACCTTGCCGTATCCAATTAGAATCGCCGAAATCAACCAGCGCGGAAAAGAGTACGAGGAAGGATATGTTGGCTCAGACGAAGAAGAAGAGATGCCGCAGGCGGAGCGTGATCTCGCTGAGGATGCGCAGTGGAAAATTTTTCAGAAGAATACCTTTACTCGTTGGGCAAATGAACACCTAAAACAAGCCAAAACATCGGTTGATGATATACAAACGGACTTTTCCGATGGCATTAAGCTTATTCGTTTGGTTGAAGTATTATCTGGGAAAAAATTTGCCCACGTTAATAAAAGACCCACATTTCGGACGCAAAAATTGGAGAATGTAACTATGGTTCTCAAATTTCTGGAAGAGGACGAGGGCTTGAAATTGGTCAACATTGGTAATCGCTCTCATTCTTTTTAAGATTGTGCCTAATAGATAGTACTGATATCGTCGATTCCCGCTTAAAACTTATTCTTGGACTCATTTGGACTCTTATTTTGCATTACTCTATTTCAATGCCAATGTGGGAAGGTGAAGAAGAACTGCCCCAGGTAACGTCTTACGTGACTTCTTTCTTATTTTTGCGACATCTACTTTACCTATTGTTTCTTCTAATCAAGTTTCCAGAAGAGGAAGTAAGCTAACGCACTTAATGGACCACTACTGATTATGCTTGGCACGGGTTTTCGCCTTTCCGTTATTTCATTCCACTGCCTTTTATTTACAGGATCCAAAGGGCAAAGGCCCTACTCCCAAGCAACGTATCCTTGCTTGGGCAAACTCGAAAATGCCCGATCGTCCTGTCAAGAATTTGACAACCGATTGGAACAGTGGTGTAGCAATAGGAGCACTTGTTGACGCATGCGCTCCCGGTCTTTGTCCAGATTGGGATACTTGGAGTCCAAGAAATCCACTGCAAAATGCGACTGAAGCCATGGTTGCCGCACAGGAATGGCTTGATGTGCCTCTTCTTATCCGTCCAGAAGAAATGATTGATCCCAAAGTGGACGAAAAGGCAATGATGACCTATCTTAGCCAGTTTCCAAATGCTAAGTTGAAGGAAGGCGCCCCGCTCCGCCCCAAAATCAATCCTGCTCGTGTTAGAGCATACGGACCTGGTACGCATTTAAGTTCATTACTGGACTCAATCGCTGTCGGTTTCATCAATATTTCTTTGTCTTTTACAAATAACTACAGTGTTATTCACAATGCGTGGGGTAATGTTTATGATAGCTTTAGTGTGGCTAAAGTTTCGAGTTTAAGCTCATCCTTGGGTTATCAACTCTTTTTAATATAATGTCCCTATTAATATTGTGTACCCGTGCAGGATCCTCTTTCTTTACAATGAAACAAAGAAATGCGACTTGGAAGAACAGGAAATATTTTTTATCTTAAAGGAATTCCATTGCCGCGTATATATTGACTAATCAAATCTTCGAAGTAGATTAAATTCTTTTGAAGGCTTCAACCCATCCAAATTATTACTACCTTACTAAAATAATTTTTTGTCACCATGTCAAAACAGAATGCTTGACATCCTGGTAACGCGATCTCCTTGCCGGCTATGTGGTTATATGCAGATACTTTATCTAATCCATATTTTCCTCATAAAAATTATCCGAAGTGATAATTTACTTCACTTTGGTACCAAGGCCTTGAGGAGACTGGAAACACTGTTAATTCTATCGCTCGTTTCACGGTGGACACTTTTGCTGCCGGTCGTGCTGACCTCGAAGTCATTATTCTCACCGCTGGAGGCGCTACTATCCCCGTAAGTGTTATTATCAGGTCGTCAGAGTTCTAAGTCACAAGCAATCTAATTTGCTGCATCATAAGATTTTTTTCTACGAGGCTCTTTTAATTTTTAGCGAATCATTTCAATTACTAGGGGAACTATTGTGTTCATTATCGTAACATGACATTTTCTTGGAATTACAAAGAAGCTTGGGATATTAGTCCTCCCGTCGACCTTTGACACGAAAGCTAAACAATTTGAAGTTTTAACATCCTGAGAATTCATGTTCCTGGTTTATGCATAGCTCTACTTCTCAACTTAATATGATTTCTCAACGTTTAAGCTAGCTTTCACGCTGGCAAGGACTTCGAGTACATTCTCGATATTTCGTTTAGTTTACTTTGAATAGCCGTTACATTTGGACTTAAAGTAATTGTCGTCGTGTGTATCACGGCAATTTCTCATACACCTGAGTCCATTTGGTGCTTAATGTTTAAAGGTATGCAATTTCAGTGTGAAGTCGTCAAAAACGAAGACCGCAACCTCACCTACTCGTGCAGTTACGTGCCTAAAAATGAGGGACCGTACCGCATAATCATTAAATATGCCGGAAAGGAAATTCCTAATTCGCCGTTTCTTGTCAACGTTGAGGGAGCACCAGGTGATCCGAGAAAGGTCACAGTCTCCGGTCCTGGAATTGAGGAGAACGGTGGCAACTGCGTTGGTAGACGGACTTTCTTCAACGCTTTTACCAAAAGTACTCATTACTTGCTTAAACTGGAATACTTTACATTCAGTGCTTCTTTAACTTCGTTCGTTTTTTGTTGCAGATGCTGGCGCTGGTCTCATTTCTTGTGATGTCGTTGATCCGAATGGTAGGAGGGACACGATTAAGCCGCGCATCACCCATCCTGATGAAAATGGTCCTTTTCTCATTGAATACACGCCCAAGATAGAAGGGCCACACAAAGTTGAAGTCATGTTTGTCGGTCAACCCATTCCCAATTCACCTTTCCCTGTCAACGTCGGACCTCGTAAGTTCAATGTTCCGAAGGAATGAGATTTGATTATCTTGTTTTCTTATATTGCCTACTTCTTTATGACCATTATTAGGTGAATCTGCAAAAGGCAAGTTTTTAAGACTGAACCTGCACGATGACTTTTTAACGCGTTCTCCTTTCCTTTCTTAAGTGATGTCTAAAAACACCGTTACTGCAGAATCTGGTAGTCGTAGTAAATGTCTCCAAATGCATTCATATTTAATCAAAATCATCCTAAACTTTTGTCACTATGGAGCTAATTATTATGGACTGTCAACGCCGTTGCTACTGCTGCGAAAATGCATGGTTGCTTCAGTAAGCATGGAACAATCTCGAAGTGGTTACGTTTAGACGGCCTTCTTTTCACTGATGATATAGCGATGGCACTAGCAAACCTTCGAACAGCTGAAATGTTAAAAGCTCAACGACCAGCCGTAGAGGAATCTAAGCCGAGTGGTTCCGGAGTCAAGTTACCATCAGTTCCTACAGTGCCCCCGAACCAGGTCCCTGGCCCAAAGGCGGGCCTGGCAGCCGCAACGTTTAGCCCTCCTGAAGGCACAGCTCCGCCAGGTCGTAAACCTTTGAAACCAGAGACCGTTGAGCCACAAGCTACGTCCCCAGGACAGACCACGAAACCTCCATCCAATGCACCCGCAGGCATCGCAGGTGACCTGCATGCGTCGGCCACAAATGAATTTGGGAATGATAGAATTTGTGAATGCACAATCATTGCAGCTTGAGTTCATAATAACTTTTATTGCGCTTTTTCTAAGCATGCAATCCAAGTCTGGTCTACGCCACTGGTCGGGGTGTTCAAGAAAAGGGCATTCGTGTTAATGATGTGGCCGTCTTCCAAGTGCACACTGAACGCGCTGGTGGGCCGGCAGAGTTATTTGTGGATCTCAAGCGTCCGGGTGATTCCTCATTTGTTGTGTCTACGTTCAAATTCTTTTTCAGCGAAAATGACACGATGCTTATGGTATTGCATTTGTCCTTTACAGATGGCCAAGTTGAACCTGTCAAGATTGTGAGGGTATCTGAGCACTTGTACACCTGCTCGTACGTACCTCAGCGCCCCGGGCAATACACACTCATTGTTCAATATGGCGGTGAGCATATTCGTTGCTCGCCCTTTAAGGTAGGATTTGTGTATCTCGAACCCCTTGTCATAAATTGCAGTGCTGAGATCAAGAATAATTAATTTTTAACCCATAGATCATTGTGGGGCCGTATAAACAATCAAAGGTTCGCGCTTTTGGTCCTGGTTTGTCAAAAGGAATAACTAAAACACCAAATTTGTTTACGGTTGTATCCAATGACGAACTGGGAGCACTTGGTATGCATAGCATTGTCATATTTTTTTCATCCTTTCCTCTATTGCAACAGTTCATTATTCCTCAACTCACAAAATTCAATTTGCAATATGTTAGTGCGAATAGAAGAGGTCCATGAATCTTTGTAGAGTTCTGTACTTTCGTGTTTATATCATGTAAACTTCCAATGGCTTTTGTTATGATTAAGTCGTTGAATCTATAACTTTATTGGTACTACAGGTTTTCTGATTGAGGGACCAAGTTCCGCAACCATAAAGTGCGTAGACAATGGCGACACTTCGGCTGAAGTTGCCTATGAGGTAGACCTTCCTGGCGAGTATGCAATCCATGTAACTTGTGACGATGAGGATATTCAAGGGTCTCCATTTATGGCGATGGTAGATGCTCCTTCTGGCATTGACGTTAGCCGAGTAGGTGTTTTCTCTCTTATTTTCTCCTTGATACTGAAACATTTGCCAAAATCAACTGCGCTATTAGGGTTTGTAATTGGTCTGCTTTGTGCTTTGATGGTTTTCAAGCCTGCACTTCGGTAATAGTTGATTACGAAGTCTACTTGGCAAAGGAAAAGGGGTTTTACTCGTTTTATTTTGATTCTACCAGATCGAAAAGCAAGGCAAATTTAGACGCTCAAGTGCAACCCATAAATTAAATGTAAAAATCGTCTCCCAGCCAAATTTAACTATTACCTTTTATGATTCCAGATAAATGTATTTGGAAAGGGTATAAGCCAAACTCCTGGCGACGTTATAAAGGGTATGCCGACTGATTTCACTATTGACCTCACAAACGTGATGTCTTCTGTTACGCAAATCGCCCAAAAGAAGAAATTGACGCCAAAGGATTTGCTCTTTGTGGAATGCCACGACTCTCTAGGCGAAATCGTTGCAGTCGAAGTCATTGAAACTTCTGTTGGTAAATTCAACATCAAATATACACCAAAAAACATTGGTGTCATTACCGTTCATATGGCTATTGATGGTGAATGTCTTAAGCAGTCTGGAACTCGGGTAGGTGTCAGAATAAAATTATTGGCTCCTACGCAAAAATGGAAATGTTTATAGCACTTATTTTCTCTAGGTTCCAGTTGGGCTTGATGCTGCTGTTGGTGGGATCAAACTCTCTGGGCCTGGACTAGAATCAGCAAAAGTCAAAACGCCCACCTACTTCACTATGGATCTCACAAACATCCCCCAACCTGCCAACAGGAAAAGCGTCATCTCAGAGACAGTTTTTCACATCACAGAAGAAGATGGTGTTCCAATCATTCCAAGAGTTATCGATAATCAAGATGGAACATACCGGATCGAATACGTACCCCCAGAAAAATCTACTGCCCTTGGCATTTCAGTGCTTGTGGCCGGCAGCCAAATCGCTCAGAGCCCATACGTTGTGCCTGTCAATCCCGCTTTCGACGTTTCAAAACTGAAGGTTGCTGGTCTGGATAGCAGTAAGTTTTACCATAGAATGTACAATTTGTCACCATTTACTTTTTACAAATGCTACGGCTTCACTGTCCGTCTACATTCAGAAGTTATAGCTAATGAACCACAGCATTTCAATATTGAAACTTCCGACGCCACCCCAATTGACGGAATCCCAACCGTACTAATCAAGTTGAGAGGTTCTCCGAAAACTATTCCAACATCGGTTAAGAAGGCTGCTCATGGCTTTGATGTTGCCTACACTCTACCACAACCCGGCGAATATACTGTTCAAGTTGCTTTGAATAAATACCCTGTAGCTGGTCCTTTTAACGTGGAGGCAGTTCCTGCCTCCCAAAATGTACCACAGAAAGGAAGTCAACCCGCAACCGTTGGCTCACCACCTACACTTCCAGGTCAGCCACTCGTACCTCTGGTTGCTGCTCATAACGCCGCGTTGTTGAAGTCAGGCGTTTTTAAAGAGCCAATCCCACTCCACACTGGTACCATCGCTCCCATGCAGATTGTTTCGCCTCAAATATTGACGCCTGTAAAGCGCTCTGCTTCGACGGGACCATTACAGGCACCAATTCAGCCGAAAATAGCCAGGCCCAATGATAGCGTGGGAGCTGCAGTTGTACCGATTCAAATGGGATCACCTCAGCAACCGCAAACTCTTCAGCCTTCTGATGCCCATAAGCAGAGGCCAGATGGAGAGACTCCTGGGGTCCAAATAATGCCATCAGTGGCGGGTCAACTAGCCAGACAGCCATTAAGACCTGACGAACAACATATGCCACCTGAAGCACAACGCTCTGGACCAGGTCAGACAACCGGGCCAGATCAAGTACCTAAACGAGCTTCTCAACCAGTAGGCGTTACTCAAGCCATGCAGCCTAATCTGCAAAAAGGATATTATCAAGTAGATCCGCTTCTTGCCGGACCGGGAGAGTATAGGACACCACGACCGTCCATTTTACCACAAGAAAAGGTATTCAGCATGCACGAGGATCTCTGAGGAAAGGCATGCTGAATCTGAGTTTTGTGCATTACCCACCTAGTTGCAGCATTGTCATTGCATGAAGTAGTCTATTAATCGAACTTACTGACGAAATCAACATCGTATTTCATTAACAGGAGGTGGTTGTTCAAAACAGCAGGTGGCCACAGTCCAGTTCCGAAGAACCCGCTGGTAAAGTCACAGCTTACGGACCTGGACTTGAGAAGGCTATGGCCACCATACCTGCAGAATTTACGGTCGACAGTACCAAATCTACACCCAGTCCGCTTAGCGTCATTATCGAAGGTCCGCAGCAGTCCACAGTGAACTGCACAGACAACGGGAACCAGACATGCGGAATCACCTACGTGCCCCCGGTTCCGGGCGTGTACACCATTAATGTGCTTCATAATGGAAAAAAACATATTCAAGGCAGTCCTTTTATGGTTCAGGTGTATCCTGTTGGAAAGATGGATCTTAATGTTGATAAAATCAAGGCTTATGGACCTGGTCTGCAGCCAAAGGGTTCGTC